GCCCGATGTGGAACTTGATCCCAGGACCCTGGGATCATGACCCGAGCTGAAGGCAGCTGCTTAACCGACTGAGCCACCCAGGTGTCCCAGTACCATGTATCTTTTAAACAAAAGCTCTAGAGATGGACATTTGTCTCTAGTGTTTTGTGACTATAAACAAAGTAGCAAAGAATATCTTTGTACTTTTCTTATTTGCCTATGGGCAAATGTATCTACAGGAAAATTTCCTAGAAATGCAATTGCTGGGTCAAAAGGCATGTACCTTTAAACATTGGTAAGTTTGCTTACTCTTTCTTTTTCTTTCTTTCTTTCCTCCTTTGCCATTTATTTCTTAACACAATTGCCTACGTAGCCTCAGCTTGTGCATTAGATGGAAAGTTTTCTCACTGTGGGTTTTGCTCTTTTTTTGGGGGGGGGGAGAGGGAGAGAGAGAATCCCAAGCAGGCTCCAGGCTCACCAGCACAGAGTCCGATGCAGGGCTCAATCTCACAACCCTGAGATCATGACCTGAGTTGAAATCAAGAGTCAGATCCTTAACTGACTGAGCTACCTAGGTGCCCCTGGGCTTTGCTCTTAATTCCTATCACATCTCAGTGTTTTATGTGGTGTATCAAATGTGCCTGCAGTTCTGAAAGCAAGTCCCAAACATGAGTGGTGTATCAAACGTATTTCACAGGAAAGAGAAACTCATGTTTTAGGATATCCGTTAATATATATATGTGCCCCTACTTCAACTTTTGGGGCTTTCCCCCAGTGGAAGAAAACCACCACCACTTCCTCAATTTTATTTATTTATTTTTTTAAAGATTTATTTATTTATTTGACAGAGAGAGACACATCAAGAGAGGGAACACAAGCAGGGGGAGTGGGAGAGGGAGAAGCAGGCTTCCCGTGGAGCAGGGAGCCCAACGCGGAGCTCGATCCCAGGACCCTGGGATCACGACCTGAGCTGAAGGCAGACACTTAACGACTGAGCCACCCAGGTGCCCCCACTTCCTCAATTTTCGAGCTTATTTGGTCCCATCTTTTCATTTTGCAGATGGGGAAGGGACCTGCCCAAGGTCACAAGGGGCCTATATGATTAACTAGGGCCGGTTTCCTGGTAGCCCATCTGTTGGAACAAAAGCTATTTCCTTTGCAGGATCCTCCAATGGTCTCCAAGATCTCTATCCTTCTGTTCTCCTAGAAAATTCAGTCCCAGGAATGCCCAACTCGTTCCTTCGTTAAGGCACGTTGCCAAATATAACAAAATTATAAGGAATTATCTCCCTCTGCTGGTAACATGCTACAACTACAAAGCCTTAAAAAAAAAAAAGTGTCCGCTGCCTTGAAAAACTAATCACATCCCAAGAGACTTACCTGAGGCCTGATAGACAATCTCATAGCCCCCTGCTGTCCCTAAGGCTTAGTCAGTATAATTCATTTAAGAGAACAGGTTCACAGAAGAATATATTCAAAATGAACATAGCTCCAGACAGTGAGCAAGACAACACTTTGAAGTTGGTCAGCCTGTTCATAATAGTTATATTTTAGAGAATTTGAGCTGCTAATGGAATATCCATGTGGAGATGCCAAGAAGAAGCCTAGCTATATGAATCAAAAACACCAGGGGAGGTCAGGGCTGGAAATCAACTTTAGGAATCTTTAGTGTTCAGTGGGTGGCTCACACCATGAACATTTGGGTAAAAACGACCGACTGAGGACACACCCAGAGATGATCCATATTTCAGAGACAGGAAATCATGAAACCAGAGAATTAATAAGCATGTCACTTTAACTTCTAAGGACTAGTAACATTTAATACATGATTGCAGTTTATGATAATAATTATTAGGAATACAATTGCAAAAATTCTCAACAGGAAGCTGTTACTTTAGGAAGATTAATGGCATGCTAGAAACATGAGAAGAAACACATTCCAGGTTAGACAATTTGATTACAACAGCTAAATGCAACACTACCAAATGACAGGGTTTAAATACTTAGAGGTTTATAGGAACACATCGGTGAGAATAAAAATACATGATGTTTATTTTTCCTTTGTTTTTGTGTTTTGGGAAACTGGATGATTAGAGAATTTCAAGTCTTCTTAGGGAGCCAAGACACCCTTATGATGGTAATAGCTAACCTTTGGAAGTCTTACTGCCGGTCAATCACTGTCCCACGCTTTTCCGCATAGTAACTAGTTTAATTCTGACGATCTACCTTTGAAGCGTCTACTACCACTATTATTTCTGTTTTGTACACTCGGGGAAACAGAGGCACAGACACCGTAAGTTACTTCATAAGATCCCAGGATCTTGTTCGAGTTGGAAGTGTCCGAAGTCGAACTTTAAAGTTGAAGGTCTCTACCTCTGTAATGGAGAAAAATAAAACAGGAATACCGTTTAGGAAGACGCGTAAGTAAATTTTTAAGGAAATGCTAATGTATGTATCTGTTATTAAAGACTCAGGAGAACTTTAGTAGTGCTGGTTGTCCAGCTCGTGTGCCAGTATTATCAACTAACGATGTTTTTACTGAGGATCCAAAGGAGGGTTAAGAGATGCTTGTGATAGTGCTTTACGTGGAGGAAAAACTAAAAAATTTCCACCCTATCACACAGAAATTATAGAATGTCTTATGCATCAGCAGATATTTTTCATCCTCTGGTGAGGTATAAACCGTTCTCAGAACGTTGAAGAAAACGTAATCTGCAGTTTATAAAGATTACGACTCACTTAAAAAAAAAGTTTTCAGGGATTGCCTGCCCTTAGAAAACATGGCTCCAAAGAACACACTTTCCGTACTCAAGACGATGACTTCAAAGGGGCTCTCCTATTCAGTACGAGAGATAACGTGTTGCCCTTAAGAAAAATGGCAGCTTTCTGGTTTCTCTGCCCTTTTCCAAGATGGCTTTCTCGATGCTAGTGGGTCCTGGCTGGGTGCCTCTTCCGGGCTTGGCAAGGGGCGGGGCCCATTGAGTAAAGCCTTGCGTGCCGGCGCCCGCGACGGAGGCGCGCTTCAGGGCGCAGGCGCGGGGAGGGGGTGGGGGAGGAGGGAAAGCGGCGAGTAAGATGGAAGATGAGGAGGTCGCTGAAAGCTGGGAGGAGGCGGCAGACAGCGGGGTAAGGAGGAGCCGCCGCCGTGGGGCAGGGCCGGGCGGGACCTGGCGTGAGGGAAGCCTCCGGGGAGCGGGCCTGGGGATGGTTCTCCCCAAGGAAGGGCCCCACACGCCGGGCCGGGGGTGGAGGAGAGGCCCCCGGTCCCTGAGCGCCGTGAAGGCCTCTTAAAGGGGCCGCGTTCCATTTCTCCCTCCACCTCTGCCTGGTGCGCCTTCCTCTGTACCCCCGACGTGCGCGTCACCCAGGGCGCCCCACCCGCCACCCAGGGCCTCCTTCCCTGGCCCCCGCGCCTGCTCGCTCGTCCCGGGACTTTCTGACCCTTCCTCTTCTGTCGCCGCCCCCCCCGCCCGAGGCACCATTTTAAAGTTCATGTGCTCTGATGAGGAGCGACATACCATGTGGGGGGGGTGCGCGGACCGGGGCGGCGTGCCCGGCTCCGGAGAAGAGCTGCGGAGGGCCGGAGGGGAAATTGAGTCGTCTCTGGGCCCCTCCACTCTGCGCTAAAATCCCCTATTGCTTTGCGCCTTCCGCCACTGTGGGCGAGTCTGGGGTTTTTTTCTCTTTCAGTTTTACTCTGAGAGCCCATTGCAGGCGGGTCTCCCGGGGACCCCGCCGGAACAGCCGAAAGCCCGGCGGGCAGCCCCTCTCCCCGGGGAACCACCCAACGATCTGAGCCCCGGGCGAAGGTCTCGGAGAGTGCTAGCGATTTGTAAAGTAGCCACATTCCTGGGAGAGGAGGGGGTGGAAATGGACCGTTCGATTTTGCTTTTGGAGTTTTTATTTGACTTCCAGAAGCTGTAGGAAAAAATAGCTTATCCCAAGCTGGAACAGCCGGAACCAAGTTTATTAGGTTTGTGATTAATTTGGATCTTATCAGAGTTTGTGGTTCTGTGGCGACCCTCGTGAAGATGGGGAGATGGCCTTTAGGCTTCCCCGTGTTCGTGTCTGTTCAGTGCTGGCTCGAGTGACAGCCACCTTCAAGGTTTATGTGTTGGGAGTGGGGCGTGGAGAGCCGAGTGTGCCAGGGTAGAACAGGAGCTGGGTTCCTCCTCCCCACCCCCAAGCGCCTTTGAGGGTGCTCGTTAGAGCTGGAAGAGGCCAAGAAATTGACCCTCGCAGCAGTGGGTGTATCTCTGCGGGAATGTTGAAACTTGGCTTCGCTTCGAAGTTTTTTCCGGTGGTTCAGCATTTCTTTCATGGTGTTTATGTTTTTCCACTTAGCATAATTAAAGTTTTGAAGAAGTAATTCGTTCAGAAGGTGTTTGGTACAGTTCTTATGTGCTGACCATCTTTCTTGGATTTTGACTTGAGTAAGGAGACCAATTGAAAGATTTTGTATGGAGCAACAGGTGTCATCTGGGTATTTATTCAACAAACATTTTTTAGTGTCTGTGCAGGGTAGGCAGTGTGCTTAGCAGTGACTTTGTGCCAGAGAATGCAAAATTTCCGGGTACAGGCATTTTATTGCCTACCACTAATATGAGTGCATCATTCAGACACCCTTCAGGTACACCCTCCTGCAAAAGAAGCCTGGCCTGCAATTTGAGTGACTCAAATGATAAGTTGCTTGAGCATCTTGGCCTTTCTTTGATTTTTCTCACCTGTTTACAAGGGACATGAGTATTTCTTTTTTTTTTTTTTTTAAAGGATTTTATTTGTTCATTTGAGACACAGAGATACAGAGAAAGAGAAGAGAATGCATGAGCAGGGAGAGAGGCAGAGAGAGAGGGAGAAGCAGTCTCCCCACCGAGCCAGGAGCCCGATGTGGGGCTTGATCCCAGGACCCTGGGATCATGACCTGAGCTGAAGGCAGATGCTTAACCATCTGAGCCACCCAGGTGCCCCTGGACATGAGTATTTCATGTTAAAGAAGAAAATGAAAAGAATGAATGCAGGATTCAGAAACTGGGGATTACTTTTGTTTTTCAGAATGTGAAATTCACTTAGGGATCAGCTAGCCCAATCTCAAATTTTACAGCTGAATGAACCCCAGGGATATAAGATTTAACTTAGATCTTTCTGATGCTTTCAGTGTTCTTTCTACTGTACTTCAGTAAAACCCTTTAAAACTGCCAGATACAAAGATGGAACCCAAACCTTGCCTTGTCAGCGTAATGAGTGGTAACTGCCAAAATGTACGTTTCTTCTATATCTTTTAATTGAACCATTGAAATAACCTGTAGAGTTATTGTCCTTTTATAAACAAGGAAACTGAGGTTTAGGGAGTAACCTGTCTTGCTCAAGGTCACACAGATAGTAAGTAGGGAGCTGGGATTTGACACCAAGCCTGTCTGACTCCAAAGCAGAATTCAATCTGTAGCATTTTGCTGTCTCTTTACCTGGGACCTGGGGAAGACGTGGGAGTTGGGCATTACTTTTCTTTTTTAATATGTTTGCTTTGTGCTTATATTTGAAAACTCTTTTGAATTTAATTCCCTTTTTGAATTTCACAAAGGGTTTTGTAGATGTGCACTTTTGTGGGAGGGGAGCCAGGGAGGGGATGAAGCACTATGTCCACATCACTGGGAAACCAATGCACTGTACATGTCTTTCAGATGTAGCATCTGAAAGTCTGCAGTTGCATCTTAAGTTTATCTTCTGTTTATCCTGTCTTCCAACTGATACATAGTAATGAGTGTTAAGTACCCACCCTCCAAAGAAGCAACCTGGATGGTGAGAAGACTAGCAAATGGGGGTTGGCTAATTTCTAAAGTGAACACTCTAACTTTATATAATCTGGAGGTAGTTCTGATCCTTGAAAGTAGAGACTTTTGGTGATCCCTGCCCTCATCACTACAAAAAATTTTGACATCATGCTGGAATGTCTTATGTGTCAGTACATCTGAGGTCATTTTTTCTTGCATATCTTCAAAATACTCAATATTGAGTGCTATTGTGTCATTCTAGGAAGGCTTTGAGAAACAGTCCAGATGTTCTTTAAATAGGCTGCTTTTTGCTTTTAGTATGGCGAACATTGACCTAATATAGAATTGTTCCTTTGACTGTTTCCTCCCAAGGAGTTACATCCCCAGTCAAAGGACAATTCAAGGAATATAGCTTATATTCCGCTAAGGAAATGCTTCTTTAAAAATACACTGCCTTGGGGCGCCTGGGTGGCTCAGTCATTGGGTGTCTGCCTTTGGCTCGGGTCATGATCCCAGGGTCCTGGGATCGAGCCCCACATCAGGCTCCCTGCTCCGTGGGAAGTCTGCTTCTCCCTCTCCCATTTCGCCTGCTTGTGTTCCCTCTCTCACTGTGTCTCTCTCTGTCAAATAAATAAATAAAATATTTTAAAAAAATACACTGCCTTGGGCGCCTGGGTGGCTCAGTTGGTTAAGCGACTGCCTTCAGCTCAGGTCGTGATCCTGGAGTCCCAGGATCGAGTCCCACATCGGGCTCCCAGCTCAGTGGGGAGTCTGCTTCTCCCTCTGACCCTCTCCCCTCTCATGCTCTCTCACTCTCTCTCTCTCAAATAAGTAAATAAAATCTTAAAAAAAATACACTGCCTTTGGGAGAAATGAAAATATAAATTGAGTTAACGTTGATTCAAACTCTAAATTCTGTCCTTTGTCTTAAGCACATTTCAGGGGACAAATAGAGCATTTTGTAATTGGAAGACATCTTTGTGCTCCAGGAAAGAAAAATCAGATCAGCAGTTTGCTCAGTTTCTGATAGTTTGAAGTCTTATATATTCACTTGTTTAGACAAAAAAAAGACATGACTTAGTCCATCTTGTAGGTAATGGGCTAATCCGAACCTAAGGGAAGATAAATGGTACACAAATGGAATTGGACTTATTATAATGCATTGGCAACCTCTCTGGGATTTCTTTGCATCTCAAAAGTTGCATTTTGTTTTTGGCAAGGGCAAGTCATATAGCTAATTGAAAGAAAATATATCTTAAGTTAAAGGATGACTGGTCTTCTGGACTAGAATTCAAATTTATGTTTACTTTTTACCCTCTTTGAGCCTCTAAACATGACCCCATCAGTGATGCTGGGTGGCATACAAGTCTACTGTAGGAAGGTGTCAGTAAACACTGAAAACTTACTGCGTACCAGGCACTGGATGGAGGAGTCAAATGGGTAAGGCAGCGCTTTCTTTGGAAGAGGCATAGATGGGGTACCATGGCTGGGATCAGAGACAGTCCTGTAGAGAAGGTGATGATTCAAAGGACCACTAGAATTAAGTTGTTTTAAGTCTGGAAGAGGTGGGTAGAGTGTAGGGCCAGTGTGCATATAGGCAGCAAGAGAAGAATGTGCTGCATTGGGAGAGCTACAAATACTCAAATACTTCCTTCTGGCTGTAGGGTAGGGAGTTGGCAGGACTGAATGGAAACAGATGAGGCCAGAAAGGTATGCAGGGGCCAGATCTGGAAGGGCCTCGTTGTACTTGGTCCTGGGGAGCTTGCACTTTGTCCTGAAGCTTTGAAGCCTTTTGTTTTGTTTTGTTTTGTTTTGTTTTAAGCAGAGTGGTGACATAGATTTTAATTTAAGAGGTAAGAACTTTGATTAACTTCTTATTCTTTAGAGAAGAGGCCATTCTCCGCAAAGCATGGCTTCTACCTCACTTTGATGTCTTCAGCATTTCCTGTAACTGCTGTCATTATGGAATATTTACAGTGGCTGTGGGTAGTGGGCAAATAACAGTTATTTTGGAGCTACCTGGTACTGATTTCTTTGTCTATCCCTATAGTAAAGAAGGCATTTAAAACTCGTGGTATGAGAAAGCACAAATCCCGGTATACTATGCCTAAAGGAGCCATTTCTAAGCTATTCCGGTCTTTCTGGGAAGATTGGATCCTAAGGACTGTGATGTGCTCAGTGCGGACTTTCTATAAAGCAGTTGGCCAGTTTAGACATGATCATGCTGTGAGCAGTCTGTCCCTGAGACTCTGGAAAAAGATCTGTTTTACTATGGTTTCAAAGAAGGTACGATAATGAGCTTTTCACTATAACTTCTCAGCTCTTTTCATTGAAGCTGCATGGGGGGCCTGTTACCAG